AATTCACTAAATGCTTATGCTCCCTATCAATATTCCTATTCATAATATGGAATATAAATAAACACAAAGAAGTACAACAAGTCTTGAATCTGAAAACAAAAACAAAATAAAACAAAAACTTATTCCTTAAATTCAAAGGGAGGGTTTCTGTTTACTTTTTAAATGTGTATGCCAATGGTTTTCTTTCTACTTCTCCTTCCTTCCTTCCTTCCTTCCTTCCTTCCTTCCTTCTACCTACCTACCTACCAGTTTCCAGCCTTCCTCCCTCCCTTCTTTCTTTGCTTTTCTCTTTCTTTTTAAAATTGTGATTAGAACACTTAACCTCAGATCCACATTCCTAATAATGTTTGAATATACAATATAATATTGTTATATACAGGCATAATGTTGTACAGCAGATCTCTAGAACTGACGCATCTTGCAGAACTGAAAATTTATATATTTTGACCACTATCTCCCCATTTTCATCTTCCTCCAGCCCCTGAAAACCACCATTCTACTCTCTGCTTCTATGCATTTGGATCTTTTAGATACCTCATAAGTGTAATCATGCAGTATTTGTTCTTCTAGGATTTGCTTAATTCACTTAGTATAATGTCCTCCAGGTTCATTAGAGTTGTCACATATGGGAAGTTTTTCTTCTTTAAGGCTGAATAATATTCCATTGTATGTATATACCACATCTCCTTTACCCGTTTATCCATTGATGGACACTTAGGTTACTTCTATATTTTGGCTATTGTGAAATGTGCTGTAATGGACATGGGAGTACAATTCTCTCCTTGAGATAATGGTTGCAATTTTGGGGGAATCTGGGTAGCTCAGTCAATTAAGCATCCATCTTTCGCTCAGGTCATGATCTCACATTTGTGAGCTCGAGCCCCATGTCAGGTTCTTTGCTGCCAGCTGAGCCTGGATTCTGCTTTGGATTATGTCTCTCTCTGCCCCTCCTCCTGCTTTCACTCTGTCTCTCTCAAAAATAAACATTAAAAAAAATGGTTGCAATTTTTTTGATAGAGACCCAGAAATAAGATTGCTGAATTATATGGTAGTTTCATTTTTAATTTTTGAGGAAACTCCTTACTGTTTTCCTTACTGCCTGTACCATTTTACATTCCCATAACAGTGTACAAGGGTTCCAATTTTTCCACATGCTTGGCAATGCTTGTTATTTTTTTAATTGCCATCCTAACAGGTGTGAAGTGATACCTCACTGGGATTTTGATTTGCATTTCCTTGATAATTAGTAATGTTGAGCTACTTGTTGTGTATTTATTGGCCCCATCTATATATCTTTTGGGAGCAATGTTTATCCAAGTTTTTTCCTTATTTTTTAATCAGGTTCTTTTTTTACTATTGAGTTCTAAAATTTCCTTATATAAAAAGGTGGCCTTTTTCACTCTGTTGTTTCTTTTGCTGTGCAGAAGCTTTCTAGTTTGATGTATTTCTATTTGCTTATTTTTGCTTTTGTAGCTTGTGTTTTTTGCTGTCATATCCAAAATATCATTACCAAGACTAATGTCATGAAAGTTTTTCCCTATGTTTTCTTCTAGGAGTTTAACAGTATTAGGTCTTACATTAAAGTATTTGATCCCTTTTGAATTTATTTTTATGTATTGTGTGAGATAAGGGTCCACTTTCATTCTTTTGCATATGGATGTCCAGTTTTCCAGCAAAATTTTTGAAAAGTCTTTTCTTTCCCCGTTGTGTGTTCCTGGCTCTTTCGTCAAGATAATTTGGCTGCATATACATAGAATTCTTTCTTGGCTCTCGATTCTGTCCCATTTGTCTGTTATGTTTTTGTGGCAGTACCATACTCTTTTTTATTTTATTCTTTTTATAAATAAAAATTGCATATATTTAAGTTGTAAAATATAATATATATATATACACACACACACACACACACATATATACTTTCTCTCTCTCTCTATATATATATGTAAATGTGTATTACCCTCAAACAGCATGGGTTTAAACTATGCAAGTCCACTTATTATATGGATTTTTAAAAAATCCACATTGTAGATGCATTTTCTCTTGTGATTTTCTTAATTTTCTTTTCTCTAACTTATTTTATTGGAGGGCTACAGTACATAAAACATATAACATATAAAACATGTATTAATTGACTCTTTATGTTATTGGTAAGGCTTCCAGTCAACTACTTAAGTTAACTAGTTAAGTTTCTGGGAAGTCAAAAGTTATATATGAATTTTCGACTGTGTAAGGAATTGGTGTCCCTATTCAGGGGTGCACGGTACATAGTAAAATGACTACTACAGTCAAGTTAATTAACATATCATCTCGCCACATAGTTACATTTGTGTGTGTGTAATGACCTCTACTCTCTTAGTGCATTTCTAGTATATGATACAATATTATTATCTGTAGTCATCATGCTGTACAGTCATCATATCTAGAGTTATTCATCTTACATGCTGCAACTTTGTACTCTTTAGCCAGTGTCTTTTCATTTTCCCCCTACCTGCCCCTGATAAAGACCACTATTACTTTCTGCTTCTCTGTATTTTGACTTTTTTTAGATTCCACATGCAAGTGATATTATGTAGGGTCTTTTTTTTTCTATGTCTGGATTATTTTACATAGCATGTCTTCCAGTTTCATCCATATTGTTGCAACTGGCAGGATAACTTTCTTTTTTTTAAGATTTGGAGGCATCACACTGAATAATTTTAAATAATGAAATGTATATAATATATAAAAATATATCTGTATGTTTTATTATTTTAAATATATATATGTATATATAATATTTTATTATTTAAAATTATTCAATGTGATGCCTCCAGCTCTGTTCCTGCTCACAGCTCTATGGGCAGTCCAAGGTCTTTCATGGTTCCATATGGATTTTAAAAATTGTTTTCTACTTTAATAAAAAAAGTGCCATTGGTATTTTCATAAGGATTGCATTGAATCTGTAGACCACCTTAGTAATACGGATATTTTAACATTAAATCTTCTAATCTATGAACACAGGATATTTCCATTTATTTTGTCTTTTTTAATTTCTTTTATCAATGTATTATAGTTTTCAATGCATAGGCCTTTCATCCCTCGCTCAGTTAAGTTGGTTCCTAAGTATTTTATTCTTTTTGATACTACTGTAAATGGGATGGTTTTCTTCGTACTTTTTTTTTTTTTTTCAGATGCTTCATTGTTAGTGTATAGAAACACAGATTAATTCAGGGGCATGATTCCAACTTCAAGGGCTCCACTTCCAGGGATAGCTGTCTGATAAGTCTAACTCACTGATGCGGGAAAAACAAGAATCTCTGTTTTTTAGATTCTTCTATTTTTATGAATTCCAGGGAATCTGAACTGGGTTTTGACTTCATCATTTACTATCGCAACTTAGTCAAAGTTTTTTCTTCCGTGAGCCTCATGAGTTAGTATTCCTGTGATTTCATAGAGGTTTTATGGGTTTGAATGAAATATATAAACTATGTTTAATATTTCTCTATTTAGATAATTTTAGTTTTGTGTCTAGTTGACATTATTATCTCCTTTATTGTCTCCTATATTTCAAGCAAGGTACATCTCAGTAAGAAAAACCTTGATACCTAGAAAGGTTACTCCTGCCTACCCTCATTACAGGAAGAAAACTCTCTCCGAACTTTTTGTTGGGTCTGAACTTAGCATGTGGCAGGCATCCAGGAAATCCCAGGCCTTCCACAGTCTTCATAAATTCTTTTCATTTTTTTTTTTATTTCTAGTGAATTTCAACCATCTGCCAAATTCACATTTTAAAAAAACATAAAAGATAACTACTTTTTAAAATATTTTGCTATTATCTTCCCCTAAGTAAACTTCCATTTCTGCAAGTGCTTATATGTGAAAGCATCTCCAGAGATGGTGTGAAAAATTATAACTTCAAGGTATACAGCTTTAAAGTGTTGTCAGGTAAATTAATAAAGATAATTTTATAATTGACAATTTTGTTTTGTTTGTGTTGTTCTTATACTTGAAAAATGAAAGTTGAGAAATGTCATGGGGAGCCTGGATGGCTTAGTTGGTTAGGTGTCCGACTTTGGCTCAGGTCATGATCTCATGGTTCATGGGTTCGAGCCCCACATCAGGGTAAATGCTGACAGCTCAGAGGCCTGGAGTCTGCTTCAGATTCTGTGTCTCCCTCTCTCTGCCCCTCCCTTACTTGTGCTCTCACTCTCTCTCTCTCTCTTTTTTTTTTTTTTTTTTTTAAATTTTTTTTTTTCCAACGTTTATTTATTTTTGGGACAGAGAGAGACAGAGCATGAACGGGCGAGGGGCAGAGAGAGAGGGAGACACAGAATCGGAAACAGGCTCCAGGCTCTGAGCCATCAGCCCAGAGCCCGACGCGGGGCTCGAACTCACAGACTGTGAGATCGTGACCTGGTTGAAGTCGGACGCTTAACCGACTGCGCCACCCAGGCGCCCCTCTCTCTCTCTCTTAAGAACAAATAAACATTAAAATTTTTTAAAAAGTTGGGAAAAGTCTTCAGCCATACTTAAATTTTAGTTATTTAGATATTTCAGAGGAAAATGACTTGTGTTTAAGATATTACTGGTTTAGGGGCGCCTTGGCTCAGTCGGTTAAGCGTCCGACTTCAGCTCAGGTCACTATCTCACGGTCCGTGAGTTCGAGCCCCGCGTCGGGCTCTGGGCTGATGGCTCAGAGCCTGGAGCCTGCTTCTGATTCTGTGTCTCCCTCTCTCTCTGCCCCTCCCCCGTTCATGCTCTGTCTCACTCTGTCTCAAAAATAAATAAAAATGTTAAAAAAAAAAAAAGATATTACTGGTTTATATACATCAAGATTATTTTTCTCTTTATTAAAATTGAAATAGTTTCATGTTTAGTCATACTCTTTTGCACTATCATGGCCCTGGTGCCATTATTGAAATCTTGCATTATTATTGTTGTATGATGTTTTAAAATTTTTATAAGAATATTGTGTTTATATTAATTTAATTAATATTAATTTAACTAAAATTTGTTAACAGGAGAATTTCACTGTGGATTTGAAGATGGTAACATTTGTTTATTCACCCAAGATGATACAGATAATTTTGACTGGACAAAGCAAAGTACTGCAACGAGAAATACAAAATACACTCCAAACACAGGACCGAATGCTGATCGTAGTGGCTCTAAAGAAGGTATGAGGGTATGAAATGTACTCCGGTCTTGGACTTCTAAAAATGCCATTAATATGACATGCACAGAATGCTTTGCTATAGATTTGAAGATTATGGGATAAAACCTTAAATTTTTTTTTTGTATTTATATATGAAATTTATTGTCAAATTGGTTTCCATACAACACCCAGTGCTCATCCCAAAAGGTGCCCTCCTCAATAAAACCTTAAATTTTTAATGCATAGACTCAATAATTCAGATATTTCCAAAGCTTGTAGACATTAATTTTCTCTCAGACCTCACAGACACATATAGTTGAGAGATTAGATGTTTTTGATAATTCAAGTCTAAAACTCCTATTTTGTTTAACATTTTTGTACATTCAAGCAATTTTATCTTTCATTATGTAGATCATTTATTCTTGATGTTATATATATAAAGATTTCACAAATGATATCAAAATTCTCCAGTGCATCTAGAATGTACTTCTTATAAAAACTCTAAACCTCCTTAATGATTAAATTTCATGTCTCCTAATAATAATTTGTCTAAACATTTATGTTGTCTTTTTAAAGGTTTTTATATGTACATTGAGACATCTCGACCCAGACTGGAAGGTGAAAAGGCCCGACTTCTCAGCCCTGTTTTCAGCATAGCTCCTAAAAACCCTTATGGCCCCACGAACACTGCGTATTGTTTCAGCTTCTTTTATCACATGTATGGACAACATATAGGTGAGATGGCAAGAATTATTATGTTTCTTCTAAAGTAAATCATAAGAAAAAATGTTTACCAAGACACAGCATGAAATCAGTTTTAGTCAAAGAATATCATCATTGACTTTTTTTTTTTTTTAATGTCTGTTTATTTTTGGGAGAGAGAGAGACAGAATGTGAGCAGGGGAGGGGCAGGGAGAGAAGGAGACACAGAATCCGAAGCAGGCTCCAGGCTCTGAGCTGTCAACACAGAGCCTGACATGGGGCTTGACCTCACAAACCATGAAACCATGACCTGAGCCAAAGTCAGACGCTTAACTGACTGAGCCACTCAGGCACCCCTGTTATCACTGACTTTTAAATTACATACCTTCAAATTGCAAATTAAGAGGCTAAGAATGTTCCCCTATCGTGTCCTAATTTTCAAATTTTAGATTCAAATTTGAACTTTTGGAGCATTACCTACCCCTTCTAGAATCCTAATTCACCCAGACCAGAGTTAAATTCTTGATGCGATCTTATTGTGGAATTAATAGCAGTATAATTTAAGCAGCTTCTTTTCAAAGAAACTTGCTCAAATAATGACTCAGTGTATATTAATGACCATGAAAAGAGGTATTGCCATATTTGGAAGATAAATACCTTTAGCACTGTCTGCATTTGGAATACTGGGATGATATTTTCTTGTTTATAAAGTATGCCTAGCATACCTAGTAGGATCTAAGAATGTCCTCATACCACATAGCCTTACAGACAACATAGCAAAACTGCTGCGGGAGGTAGGGAGAGATCATACAGGTCTACATGTCTTTATGCACAATTATAAAATCAAACTGATAACAAAATTTTTTAATTTAATTATTTGGCAACACATGCTGTCTGATCTCCATGTGTTGGAATATAGGACCCGAAATAATCTGAGCTTGTTTATAAACTTTATTTATCTAAATAAGTGTGAACATTTATATTATTTGCAGCAAAAATATGACTATGTTTGATTATAAGATTCTGTTCCAGATTCTTCCAGAGACTATCATGTAATCCATAAGATAGGCATTCTTTTACGTTTCTAAAAGAAGACAAAATTCTGAATGGTGAAGCATCTATCACCACAGAGCTTGGACAAGGGGTTGTGGGTCTGTATCTAGCAGAAGAATAAGGCAATGCTTCGGGACAAAGGAAAACATCTCTCTATGAAAGAAGGTTACATTTTCAATGGACAGAAATGAGCACAGGGAAGATTAAGGTACTGATAGTGAGGAAATAAAATGTGGAAAGCTAGGATGACATTGTTTTGATGTAAATGAACAAAACTAAAAATATAAATATATAATTACATAAACTAACACAATCGTGCACATGATAGATGCCAGTTACTGTACCATTTAAGTGAAGTAATCCTCTTGATCAGTTTAAAAATATGAGCATAACATCACTGTCCATTTTTTACAGCAGAAAAAAACTGAGTCCCAGAGAGTTTGTTTGAATTGCAAGGAACTGGTTATGCTGGGTCGTAAACTCATTGCCAGCACTATTAACCAGTATTTTTCACAGTGGAGCACTAGGTAATACACCAGGAAGGCCAAACTTGTGCAATGAAAAGTCCTCTGAGGGTGAAGTCAAGAAATCTGGGCTAGAACTTGGCTGTAGCTTACTTTAAGAATGCAGAGAATTCACTTAAAACACCTGGATCATGATCTCCTCGTGTGTAAAATGGAAATATTAATTCCTATTTCAGAAATTTGTAGTTCATGCTAAATAGGATAATATATATGAAATCTCAGATGTAGACACTCTTAACCTTAGGTTACTTTGAATCTCAAATAGCAATAATAAAGTAATAGCTAATGTTGGTCACTATTCCTAACACGTCATGGATTATTTCCTTTAATTATTATAATAAACATTTGTACTCATTAAAATCATTATCCTCTATCATAGATAAGGAGACTGATACAGAGAACTTTACTTTACTTTACTTGCCATAATGTCACAGCTGATAAATAATGAACCATGGTACCAATCTGGGAAGCTGGACAGGATTTGCTTGCTTTGCCGTTCTGTGGAGAGACTCACTGGAATGTCACAAATGTTTAACTAATTTAGTAGTTAGGGGAAGACATACACATTTTGGGCAGATGACAAAAGCATGATGAGATTTCTGATTTGGGAAAATAAATCTTATGGAGTGGGTAAAATCATGGAGAAACAGAATACAGTTTGGAAAAGCAGTTAGAAAGTTACAACAGTAGTCATGGGTTCACTACAGCCTAACCTATGAAGGGAAATAAATCTCCATACAATTGCCAAACCATCTTATTTACTATGAGATTATGATCTTATTACAAAGGTAGGATTAGCTCAACTCTCATTTTCCCATTAGTTGGTGATGTATTCTTCACTTTGAAGATATTCCTTAGACTCTCTTTCTCTTCTCCCAATTTCCTTTGGAACAGGCTTGTTTCAAAATGGTTTTTAAATAAATAATTCCAAGATCAATATTTTGAATTACTTAAATGAGTAAAATGTGCATGTACTGTTTTTATGAGGCTGGCCCCCTCTCAAATTTTCTCCATATTTATATTGAGGTTCAAGATAATTGTAATATACTTCTAACTTCACAATTTTTATACTTATCATTCTTTATTGTCAACAAATGTCCAGTTGACTTCTGCCAGTTTTATTCTGATTGTTTCAGGAAGAAGGCAGTTCTCCATTTCTTCCATGTTCTCAAACACTTAACCATTTTGATGCCTGTGCCATTTCTCTGCTTCATCAGATGGTTGAAGGTTGCAGGTATCAGATCTGTCATTAGAGTCCCTCCCAGCAAGGTACAATCATGCTGCTTACTAAAATGTAGACAAAAATGTCTATTCCAGACGTGCACTAATCAGGACCAGATGAGTGACCTCATTAGGGAGAGGTTGCCTGTAGCTGAAACCTTCCCTCTTTGTAAATATTATTCTAAGACACTCATTTATCTTTAAACCTGCGGGCATTTATAGTCACTGGTTTTACAAATTACATTCTCAGTTTTATTCATTTTTTTGCAAGTCCAAATTCGAAAATGATTTGCGTGGATTTCTAATAGCCTAATTGCGATTATTATTTCCTGAGTAACCATACATAATCTTTGCTGTTTAAACTTTGACTAATGCTCAGTATATCATTGAGGAGAGTTGTAACTTTTAATGATACAAAAATGGGCAATCAGTTATGCATTACTTAGAAAAGATATTCCTCTTTGATGTAAAGTCAAATATGTTGTATTATTTAATGCTACATAAAAAGTTTCCCCAAAATTTTGTTGCTCGAAACACAAACATTCATCTCTCAGTTTCGGTGGGTCAGGAATTTAGGTGAGGCTTAGCTGAGTGTCTGTAGTTCAAGGTCTCTCACCAGGTTGCAGACAAGCTATCAGGCATGACGACTGTCTAATTTGAATACTTGACTTAGCGATGATATTACTTCTTCTAAGCCCACTCACTTGGTGTCTGGCAAGCCTCACTCCCTCATAGGTATTGGACTAAGGACATTGATATCTTGCTGGCTGTTGAATTCCTCTCAATTCTCTCAAGTTCCTTGTCATAGGAACATCTCTACAGGACTGTCTCATGGCATGGCAGCAGGCTTTCTCCAAAGCAAGCACTGACAGAGAGCAAATACATGCCCAAGACTTTTTATAACCTAATCTCTGAAGTGACATTCCATAATGTCTGCCTTATGCTATTTATTATAACTGAGCTGATATTTCCACCCCACATTCAATGGGGGGGGGGGGGAATACACAAGGGTGTTAATGCTAGGAGGCTGAAATCATTGGGAGGAATCTTAGCATTTATTTGCCACACAGGTACAATTTATTGTTAGCTAAATGTTTCATCAAAATTGAAGAGAAAACAAATGAAAACTACAACATGTCACCCTTAAACTGTTGATTTATAAGTACTGATACAATAGATATTGACAATAGCGTAAGATTATTTCAACAATCCTGTAGGTGCAAGAAGGCATTTTGATTCTTGATTAATCATCTGAATTTCTAATATTCTTGCATTGAAACTGAACTTCATATGAGGTCACCTGATGTGAAAAAAAGCTTATTAAAAAATAAGTAAAATATGTACTTCATTTATTTCTAGGAAGAATGTAAGATATAAGCATACCAGGAAATTAAAGATAAAAATACAAAAGGCACTTATGAATACATTCATTGAGCTTGATAAGAATGGTTCAATAAAGTTGTGGCTCTAGAAAGCTAATTTCACTGTGGAACAAATGGGAAACAAGGAAAAGGAGTCCAGTCATGGGATCCATTCTTTCATGAATCTTGAGGGTGGGGAAGAAGTGATAAAGTAGAGAAATGTGGGGTTATAGATGTGCTTATTTTTAAGAGGAAAAAAATTAATGGAAAGGTAAGTTTATAGATCCTAAAGTTGGAGGGAAGCAAATTTCTTGAAGAGATGGGAATTGAGAGTTATGATTCCCCTACTAGATTCAAGGGGAAAGAATGTCACTTCCACTGAGGTGGGAAGAAAAGAATTAAGTGGGAATTGTGGCTTTTGATACATTCCTAGATGCAAGTGCAGCAAGTGGACTTAGAAGTTGCCTTTTTAACAGTATCTAACAGTACCTATTTTTTTCTGTAAAATAAATACAGCTTTTGCATGTTCAAAGAGTAGACCATTGTAGGCAAATGGAAACAGACTCATGAGTGATAGAGAGTTGAAGCAGTTGGAGACCAGGATATCAGTCCTCAGTGTTTTGGAATATGTTTTAGGATATAATGCTCAATTTCAATGCCAATCACTTCTTGTGTGTATTACTGAATTCCCCTGATAACTGATTTCTTTGCTGTCTCTTGGGCCTATAGTTTCTGGGGTAAATATAATTTTCTCAAACTAGTATCATAAGGACCTTAAGGATATATGCCCCTCTGGCTTCTTAGGGCAGCAGCATGGTCTGTATCAGCCATACAGGAAGTTCCCCAAATTGAGCTGTCTTCTATCTGGAGCCTT